GGCAGCGAGGCCGGAGCGCGGCCGGCCGTGGGTCTCCAGGTGCTCCCCGTCCCCACCTCGCCTCCGGGGCCACCAGGTAGCTCCATTTCCCTCCCGACCCCCAAGCGTCGGACGCTGGCTTCTCCCCAGCAGCCGGGCTTGTTTCGGGCCTTGCATCCGCGCTTTGAAGTCTTCGGAGACCTAATTAGTCGAGGTGTAATGGGCATAATTAGGCGAACTGCGTTTCCTCTTCTCGCCCCCTTCCTGGCCTGTTCCCCCGGTCCTTGCTGGACAGCAATGGGGAGGACCCAGGCTTCGGAGTGGACAGCGTCCAGCGCCCTCCTCTGGCTGCTACTCTCCCTTGCACAATCTACCTGTCGGGGCCCGGCCCTACACCCAATAAACTTCACTGGGTATTTATGAGGAGAGGGGAAACAACTTTACTGAAAGGCTCACCTCTTAGCACAAGCGCTCTGGCCCTTGTGATGAGGAGGGTATGGTGGTGACATTTGTCTGGGTTACACTCGGGGAGGTGGAGGTGGGGACAGGAAGGCTGAAGAGAACAGCGAGTACTGGGGCAAGAAATAGCTTGCAAAATGCCGGGGAAGGAACACAGGACCTTCCCAAGAGGATAGCAGGACAGCATCAAGAGGATGTGGAAAGAGTGGTGACAGGCTAAGAGAAGGAAGGCTCAGCAAGGCGGGGAAGAGAAGGAGCAGAATGGAGTGAGGTCTCTCTGAGTGGGGAGCGAAGGCACCCGCTGGGCGCTGCTGAGGAGTGAGGAGAGTATGAACCAGGGCTTACGTTCTGTTTTCTTCTGACTGTCCTAGGATGTGAGGAAGACATGGAGACGGTGAGTCCCGCTTTTACTGTTTCTTCCTGGTTAACTTCCCAACTGGCCCACATCTTTAGAGGCAAGTTTTGGGGGTGTAGACTACACCTCTTCCTGCTCCAGAGAACCCTGTGAGTTAGGAGTGGGGGACATCAGAATCAGCTTCAGGAGGCAGAAGGTATCTCGTGAATTCCTGACCCTTCCTCTCATCTGCCCAGGCTTGATGTCGCCATGCCCAAGTCATCTAACACAGAGGAAGATCTCCCTGAAGATTACCCAGTGGTCAAAAACATGCTTCATAGACTGACAGGTAAGAGGGAAGGAGGGGTGGGAACTCAGTGAGCGTCTGTATTAGGTGTGCTCTATTTTAGCTCTAGAAAATGTGCATCCTGGCTGGGTGTGGTGTTGCATGCCTGTAATCTCAGCATTCTGAGAGGCTGAGGCAGGAGACCCCAACTCAAAATGTTAAAAAATGTTTAAAAGGCCTGCAGTATCCCTCAGTGCAAAGGCCATGAGCTCAATTGCTAGTACTGAATGGATAAATAAATCTAAAAATTTGCAAATGTTCATCCTTTTTGAGGCCTGTATTAATTTCCTGGAACTGCTATGTCGCAGTTCCAAAATCTAGACAGTTAAGCAGACATTTAGCATCTCACATTTCTAGAGGTAAAACTCTAAAATCAAGGGGTCAGTAGTGTTGGTTTCTTCTGAGGGCTGCTTTTGTAGGCCTCAGCGATTTCTTGGTTTAAACAAAACAAATTGTCTTCGTTCTGTATGCATTTGTCCCTGTGCTCAAATTTCCCCTTTTTGTGGGAAACAGTCATACTGGGTGAGAGCTCACCCTCATTTAGTTTACCTCTGTAGGCCAGTAGTGGTGGCACACACCTGTATTCCCAGCACTCAGGAGGCTGAGGTAGGATTACCAAGAGTTCAAGGCCAGCCTGGACTATATACTGAGACCCTGTCTCAAAAACCAAAACAACGTTTACTCTGTAAAGACCCTATTTCCAAATAATGTCAATCCTGAGACCGGAAGGGACATTGCCATATTTGGCGGGGGTGCAATCTAACCTGTAACGATGTCCAGCCTCGCTCAGTTCCTCACATCCCAGCCATTTGCCCTCTTCCTTTGCTGGAAGGAGCTTTGTTTCCACCCCTGCAGGCTCCCCTTTCCTCCCTCGCCCACTCCCAGGGCTGATTTCTGTCATCCTTCAAAGTGCTCAGAGAAGACTGCTTGGTCATCTGGACCCAAATCCACACTGCTTCTAGAACCCTGCTCAGGAGTCTTTGCTCAAAACGCTTGGTACATCCGAGGTCAGCAGTTTGCTCTCTGCTCCCTTGGTCTGGCTCCATCGGTCTGCTCTGCCCCGTGCACTGTACAGAAAGAGGCCTGACAACCTCCACTCGTGCCCTGGGAGATGGGCTGGTTCTGCAGGATACTTTGGGTTCTTCTCTGCTTCTCCCGTTGTCACTCGGTCCAGTGTAGGGTGTAAGTCTTTCTCTTTGGATCCATCCTGCTGACCCGGCTCCCGGCCCCATTCCAGACACTGCAGGTTGAAGTATTAGTCCTGCTTCCTCCGGAGGCAGCAGCATAGTCTCTTTTCCTCCTCGGAGCAGTGCCCACGCCCTGGGCCTGCACGGTCCTCCCGGTACAGTTAGGCCCCTGAGCGCCGGTAGGGTCTGCAGCCTGGGTCTCGTGTGCGCCGGCGTCCCCATCCCCGACCTGGAAACCTCCTCACGGTCCTCTCCCCGTGCAGCTGACCTGACGCTGGACCCGGGTACTGCGCACCGCCGCCTGCTCGTCTCCGCTGACCGCCGCGGCGTCCGCCTGGCGCTACC